CTATACTTTTTGATAGCCGGGCACCATCAGCTTTCTTCGCCACATTTGCTTATGCACCCATTTGTCTTCAGTGACTCTCTTATACATGAGTTGCTGTGGATTTGTTTTTCTAAAGTACCTAGACTAATACACCATCTAAGAACACTTTGTTCTTCTGATGTGACCCTGCTGGATACTCACCCTCATGAAGAGAGCACGGATGATATGGGTGCTGGAGCAAGGTGTGCTGAAGAAACCAGATGGTGTCAGTTATTAGAAGAATAGCATCTGGCATCTAAAAGGCTTGCCTTAAAACAGGGGTTCCCAACTGTGGGTTGAGACCCCTTGGCGGGTCGAATGACCTTTTCACAGGGGTCGCCTCCGACCTTCTGAAAACAAAATTTCCGATGGTCTTAGGAACTGAGACATTGCTCCTCTATCCATCTCCAGGCGGGTCCGCCACATGCAGGTACACCCACATATGAGTACCCAGCGTGAAGACTGTTACCCATGCTACACCATGCTTCCAGACAGAATTTCATTTATTTGCCAATAGAAATCAATATTTAATGACATATTGTTTTTGTGATTAATCACTATGCTTTAATTATGTTCAATTTGTAACAATGAAAATACATCCTGCCTATCAGATTCATAGCAGTTGCAAAATTACAGTTATGAAATAGCAATGAAAATAATTTTATGGTTGGGGGTCACCCCAACAAAAGGAACTATATCAAAGGGTCGAGGCATTAAGAAGGTTGAGGAGCACTGCCTTCAAGCAACCAGCCAACTAACTAAGGTAACAGCTAAATCCACATGGATGAAGGATATCAACCCGTGTGATCCAAAGAGAGTAAATAATAAAATCTCAATCAAGAGGAAGGAATAGTATTAGACCTTAAATTCGGAGCACCTTGTTTTTCAGATGGCCATGGATGACAGTGAAAGCCCCAAATCCATTTGCAGGGTCCCCACATGAATGAAACCTCCAGGGAATTCTCTCTGACCATAGTCCAGTGATGTGAATAACATTGCTATCAGACAGAACAGTGGAATGTGGGTTAATGCAGATGTAATTCGCTGAAAATTTAACACCTTATCATTTGTTCTCCCTTTTGATTCATTCTAAATTTGTCCTCATTGTTATTATGTTTTGCTTTCTTTTAAATTGAGATTTTTCTGTTTTATTTTATTATCATTGTTGGTTTTTGTTTTGCTTTGCTTGTATGTTTTTGTTTATATGAAATCCAAGATGTGTAAATCTATAGACATAGTAACTGATTATTAATCAGTTCCTTAAGGTTATGACAGGTGAGGTCAGGGGAAACTGGGAGCTAATCATAATGAGGAAAGAAGAAAACATGCTAAAATTGATTGTGGTGATGATTGCACAGTTCACTTTAATATGTTTAGACCACTGAATTGTATGATGTGTGAATTATATGTCACTAACGCTGTTAACTTTTTTTTCAAAAGAAAGAAATTTGAGGTGAGTATAGGTGAGAAGAAGGTTAAAAACATGACCACCGATTCAAGGAGCTTAAATAGGATGGAAGTGAGGATAACCGAAACTGCAGAAATCCCAGAACTCGTGTAATAGCTGGTTCATTCACAGATCTGTTACATTTCTAAGACTGATGTCTGAAAGTGCAATAAAGAGGCACATTTTCACTGGGAAAAAAGTGATTGTTTAAGATGCACCTACACAGATATTGACCCATTAGCATAGCAAAGAAAACTCTATTGTCAAATGGGATTTCATCTAATACAAACTCTCTGCCATCATGTCTATTCTGATTCATAGCGACCCTATAAGACAGGGTGGACCTGCCCCTGAGGGGTTCTGAGACTGTAACTCTTTATGGGAGTTGAAAGCCTCATCTTTCTCCCTCGGAGCATGCTGGTGGTTTCCAACTGCTGACCTTGTGGTTAATAAGCCAACATGTCATCACTAAGCCACCTTCAAAAGGTTCATGGAAAAATGAAATAGAAAGATAATAGAAACCTTCCATGAATTTTTGGAAATCACTTCTTATTTTGGGATGGCAAAATTCAATTCATATACAGTATCAGACATCTTACAACCAGGAGCCATCTTCCATCCTTCCTCTTCAAGGACAGGTCAAGGTCCAGCCACATTCCCCATCACTTCATTGCTTGGTTGGCCACAGACTCAGAACTAAGCGAGCCACTTGGAGTGGTGCAATTAGAGCACCCTGCCCTCTGTGTCACCGGCCAAACATTAACCCTCTCTTGTCATTCCTCCCTTCCAGCTTGGGGAACTCCAGACAAATTCTCTTCAACCTCTCAGGGGACGATATGGAATGGGATGCTGAACTCTTTACCTTGGAGCCCCTGGCACCTCCAGTGGAGGACTACTGTGAGATGGAGAATCCCAAAGGACAGTGGCTGCTTCGGGAAAGATTCTGGGAGCGGACTGTGCCCTGATTCTATATCCGCACAGGTGTTTGGTGGAATTAAAAGGAGAAATTGTTACCAAGCAGATCCATCAACACATTACCTACTGGTGCTCACTTAGTAGTGCCAAACAGACCTGTGGCTTTCTAGAGGATTTGCCTCAGGATATCATGGCCGTTTTGGGTTTCCTGCATTGGCAGGTGAATAGGTTCTTACAATTGACTTAACTTTAAAAGGAAATTGAAGGACTTCTGGGGGGTGTGCAGGTTTGTCTAGGCCCACTCCTCTGGCCTCATCTGGCCTGTCCCTAGAGTCTAGACCTCCTGTGTATCTAGGTGGTTGCTAGTTTCATGATCAGTACAGGAAATGAACCAACCGTGGATCTCTGGGCCAAAGTTCTCAGAGTCCATTTGTTTTTGCCAGGGGCCCAGAGACACTCTGGTTATGTCCTGAACCTGTAACCAGTTGCAGTGGGGTCAACTCCAAACTCATAGCAACCCCAGGTGTCAGGGTAGAGCTGTGCTCGGCCGGGTTTTCAGCGAATGGGTTTTGGGAAGCCGTTCTTCTGCGGCATCTCGGAGTGGACTCCAGCCTCTGACCTTTCAGTTCGCAGCCCTGTATGTTAGCTGTTTGCACCCTAAGGTTGCCATCTTTGTGCAGAACGCAGTTGAGGAAGAGGCTCCTTTCCCCTAACCTCTGCATAGCTTTGGGATTAGCTGAAGCCTTGCCTAGGGCATGGAGGTAGGGCTGGCCTCTAGACCACTCACTCTCCCCTAAAGCCCAAGACCTCAATTCCACTCCCCACAGCAACCAATTCTCAGCCCTGTAATTCTTTCTCAAGTTACTGACGTGAGTGTGAGTAAGAGAAAGAGACCGACTAGGAAAAATTTGTCATCCAAACTAAAGCCAACACGGATCTAGACCAAGGTCATTCTGAGAACAGAAAGAAGTTACACAACTGTGTCTCGTCACACTTGTGTGATGAGATAATTATTTTTCAGGTTTTTTTTAGAAAGAACCTCTTATTTATGTGAATTTGACTCTCTGAATCTAAGTATTTATAACTCCTATAATAAAAAAATCAGTGAGTAATTCAGTAGTATTCCTAGAAATTGTATATCAATGAATTTTCAGAATGAAAACATATTGGAAGTATTTTAATATTTATTTCTCTTTATTCTTGATTGTGTGCCAATGCTAATGTGTGGGAGGTTTCTTTATTTTTTGCTTATATTAACCACAATGCAACCAGAAGCTCGACTGAAAACTAAATGTTTGGAAGAATTGTTTTATAAACAACATTAAAGTATTTCAACTTAACCTCATGGGTGCTCTTTCTTTCTGCCACAGGTGGCCTTGTTTGAAGCCCTACTTAGGAAAGGTCACTGCTGGGGATCAACTTAGGCTAAAGATCTCTTTACTCTGTTTCTTATCAAACTGTAGCTTATCACAAATTGTCCCTGACATATGTGGCAAAAACATTGTGTGCATTTCCCTATGTTACACCGGGTTGACTAGAGAAACAATTCCAGACACACTCACGTGTGTATGAGAGAGCTTTGTATCAAAGAGTAATTGTATACTGTATTGAGAAAGCAACCCAGCCAAGTCCAGAACAAGTCCATAATTCCGATATTAGCCTAAATATCTGATACTAGACCATAAATTACTCTTTAGACTCATGCAGCACATGCAATGATGCTGAATGCAGGAAGATTACAGGCCGGTGGGTGGACAATCTTGTGGATCTAGTGGCGGTGGAAGCATCTCAACACTGGTGCTGGCTCCTCCAGTTCCCTGAGTGAATCCTCCACAGAAAGGTGAAGCAGAGGGAGAGTGTGTCCCACCTCCAGGGAGAAAGAGAGGAAGTTCCCAGAATTCTTATGAGAGAGAGAAGACCATGCCCACAAGGAGGCATCATCAGGCTGTAACCTGATTGACAGCCTAGACTCCATCCCTTCACTCTTAATATCCTCAAGTTGACATGGGATTATGGAACTACCACAACAGATAGGAAAAAAGAATCAGAGAGCAGAGGATGTTTGGAGCCCTGATCTTGTAGCATTTATTGCACATGGGAAATGAAGTTAGTTTCCCCCCACCTCCATTTTGCTTCATGTTCTCTGTGATTTTTGTCTTGATGAAATTGTATACAGACTGTCAAATGGAAATTCTGTTATTTCAGAAACATAAGACACTGGCTTGTCTTCTGGGATGATTTTAGGTCTCTGAAATTGATAAACACTAGGTTCTGGAATTTGCTTGATATATCTTGAGTAATAGCTCTTGGGCTCAAAACGGATTCTTTACCCTCTAAACCAATTATTCAACTTAAATCAGCTGGCAGTTGTGTCTCTAATTAGCAGCTCAAGTTTTGCCAGACCTGTCCAAGTTTTGAGAAATGAAAATCTACTGGTCCCTGGATGAATTTTCAGAAAATAAAAGAAGGCTGGGCTGGCGGGAGGGCGTGAGAGAGAAGAAAATGAAAAAACAAGAAAAGCAGGGCACGTGCGTTCCTGGCCTCTGGTTTATTCTTTAGTCATTGGTCACCAAATCTTCAGAGTATCTTTTTTTCTTGGAGGAAGTTAAAGAGGGGCCTTAAGTTATGCTTGAATGGTGCATAACCTACCTTCTGCCTGATTGTCCAGCCGCTGAGACCACGGCTGCTGGAACAGACCCCGAAGAACTTCCTGGTGCCCACGCTCAGACCCTAGTGCCGGGCTAGTTTGAGGAGGAGTCTGTATTCCTCTCAGCACAGATGGCCTTCTCTTGGAGTATTAAGTTCTTGTTCACACTGTAACAAACTAGGGACCACAAGCCTAGGGGCTTAAAACAGGAATGAATTCTCTTACCATTCTAAGGTCAGAGTCCAATGTAGTCTCACTGAGCTGAAAAGTCAAGGTGGATACTTTGAAGGAAGCTTCTAGAGGCCACCTTCATGTCTTAGCTCACAGCCCATTTCGTGCAATATTTTAGTTTCCTCTATAATCACATCTCCAACTACTCATTTTCATCTCCTACCTGCTTCTTTTAAGATTCTTGTGATTACACTGGGCCAGATAATCGAGGACAACCACAGTATCTTTAATTTAATAATATAAGCAAACTGCCTTTTGCTGTAGAAAGAAGCATATTCAACAAGTTCGTGGGATTAAGATGTGACTATCTTGGTGGCAGAGGTGGGGGACCGGGGGGCAGGGGAGGGTCTATCATTCAGCCTACCAAATTCAGTATATCAAAATGTCCTATTTTTTATGGGGCTAGCCCACATTTTCCTTAAGCTTATAAGCTTAAGCTTGTAACAGTTCAATACCCACGGTTAACTCTGACTCAGTTGTCATTTACAAATTCCTTTGGTTCTAGCTCTTACCTTATAATTTTATTAAAATACAATTCTATCTCAGAAAGATTCTTATTTCAGAAGATTTTTCAGTTATTCAAAATTCCAAAGTCAAAAGAATGGCAGCTGACCTCTCTCAGGGTAAAGACTAGACAGCTGTTTCTCACAGGCACCACTGCTGGTCAGCTATGGTGTTTTCCTCCAATCAATCACACACTCTTTATTAAGGACTAAAGGGCCAAGGAAAGGTGTAGAGGACATGGTGTCATTTGATGATCGAAAGGGGGAAGCTAAGGTGAACCATGTAGAGCACCTACCACGAGAGCAGGTCCAGGCAGGAGAAAGCCCACTTCGCTTGAGGCATCAGGGAAGAAGTTCACGGCAGAGGTGGAGTTCTGAAAGCACGCAAAAGGATAGTGCGCAGAACCATTGTGGAAAGTGTGCTGGATGGTAATGGCAGAGCGTCTATTGAGCAACCATGAACTATCCGATTGGATAGACGGGGGAAGCCAATAGAGGAATATAGAATTAATCTGTGAGGATAGACAACCAAGCGGTTCTCAAGTCTGTAACTGGAACATGGCGAGATAGCATCTCCCGAAAGTGCGGTAACCTGGCAGGGTGGGGGTGAAGCAGTGCGAAGCCACCGACCCTGTTACATGGTTGAAGTTGTCCAAGCCGTCCACGTTCTTGGAAGGAGAAAATTGCCAGGCCCTGGCCATGCTCCTGCCTGTTTCCCCTCCGGCCTCAATTCCTCCACCCTTCTCTCCTCCCCAGAGCTACGTGATTAACCCTGGATCTGACCAGATTAACCACATTAAACTTCTGTGGTGGATTTCCCACCATGCATTCTAGGGTGTGATCAGCTTCCAGCTGTTCCAGTTATTTACTGTCTCATCAAATCGTGAGTGCCCAGGACCTGCCAGCTCTTCATCAACTCTGGGTTTCTTAGAAACAATTTTACCTGTCTTTGAAAGGGACAGGAGGTGTGTGGTGGGAGTGGCAGGGGGGTTGGGTTGGCACACTTTGTAAATCAATTTATGTAGCTATTGAGCTTGGCCTCAGTCCACCGATGATGGCAAATCCTGCTGGATATTCTCTGTGAGACCTGCACATGGTTATCCAGTTATTCACTAAGTCCAGCCCTGTGTTGATGTATAAGGGGAAATAGACAGAGGCCCTTCCCTTAAAGGGCTTCAGTCCAGTGGGAAGGGTGGAAGTGAATCAAAAGATTACACTGAAAAATGTAAATCCAAATTGTAGGGGAAGGAGGCCTACGGTGTCACTGAGGGTTGGTAGCCAGGTTGGGCAGGGCTTGGGAGGGCTTTTTAGACCCCTCATGGCTTCATTTGTTTTGCTTAAATGCAATAGCCTCAGAGAAGCCATTCCTAGCAGCCTTACTTAAACCACTGCTGTTCTTAATCTCCACCATGCTCTTTCTTCCTTTCCTTCTTTTAAAAATCATTTTATCGGGAGCTTGTACAACTCTGGTCACAATCCATACATACATCCATCCTGTCAAGCACATCTGTACATTTGTTGCCATCCTCATTCTCAAAACATTTGCTTTCTACTTGAGCCCTTGGTATCAGTGCCTCACTTTTTCCCTTCCCTCCCTGCCCCTCCTCCCTATGAACCCTTAATAATTCATAAATTATTACCATTTTGTCATGTCTTATGCTCTTTCTTT